TATAAACTATAATATCATCAACGCGATAGATATAATAATGTATATTAGGTATTGTTATTATTTATTATATGATCTATGTATTATCGAATGGTCATTTATGTATAGTGTGATTAAAACTAAAAACTGTGTAAATAAATTCATAACGATAATATTATTTAACGATTATTGGCCTATAGTCCCTGCGAATATTACAATTATTATAGATACGTATGCTCAATGCTTATAGCTCGTAGTGGTTTAATCGCAGAGTCAAGTGTGATGCACGAGTATACACGAGCGATGCCTCAAGTCTAATACAAACTATTGTGCAGATCGCCACAATTAAATAAATGTATAAAAAAAAATCGGCTGTAAAGTAGATGATAAGAGTACCATGTCATTCAATGGGTCACTATAATGAATGAAGTGATTTGAATTTAATGATAAATAACTGTATAGGTACAATGAACAATGATTCTCAATCAATATGGTCTGTCAGCGCCCTAAACATATTTTATTATAATATATTTATAGTTTAAATTATTGATATTAATAATTTATTTTTATTATGGTTATACAACAGGTTGAACTAATTTTTGACAAAAACAAATCACATATACATATTAGATGCATACATCCTGATCCTACACAAATATAACATTATTTCATCCATTTATATTATAAATATGTCAATATACCTACTAGTGTTTAGTAAAACGGTGTAAATATGTGGTATTTATAGTTAAAAATTAATCTAATAATATTTCGAAAACAATTGAGTATAGTAAATGATAATATACGTAATTTCGAAAAGTCCAAAAATGTTTTTGTGTAATTTACAAGAAAATGACTAAAATTGTTATTAATTAATTAAATATAAAATTTAACTTCATAAATATACCCGCGAAAAAAACTGTGTACCTATACTCGATAATTTTAGGTTAGTGTAAGACCAATTTTATTATTGAATATTGGTGCTATAATTTTCAAGTCTTATCTATTAAAATATGTTAGGCTATAGGTACATTTTTATTTTTAACTAAAAAATAATTCCATTTTCTCGCAAATTTGAATTTCTTAACACAAAATATTTTTTATAATATTACCATGTCAAAAAAATTTAAACATATATATTTTGAGCAAAAAATAACAACAAAATCGATATATTCGAACATATGGTTCTGCATAAATATCTATTCCCGTTTTTTGTTTATTTTTTCTCGATTATTTACTTCATTCGAATAGTTTAAGATCGGGGCATATATTTTCCATTACCTACAGTTTTCTATTATTCTAAGTTTGTGTCCACAGAAACAAAATAAACATAAAAAATAAAACTGCATACCTACTACCATTGTAAATCTAATACATCGCTCAACTCAGAATCAAAAATTATATTTAGTTGTTAAATTACATTATTATTGTTTTTTGCTCATTGCATTTCAACAATAAAATTAAGATTTCTATGGGTTCTGGTTAGGCTGTTTAGTCACACCACATATTCTTTTATACATCACGAGATCTTTTTGGTATCTGTCCCGTACAATTATTATAATAATACACGTTTAATTTAAAATATAAATGGTGCTTAAATAATTGGGAAAACGTAACTCACGTTATACCTATATACCAATAGCGGCTGATATTACAAACAATGAAATAAAAATATTTTTTGTAATTAATGTATTATTATTAGTAAAAAAACATTCGTTGAACGTCATAAATATAAAAAATAAAAATGTTTATTTATTTTTAACGAAAATACTGGGTTGACATTTACCAAAAATTCATTAATATCATATTATTATTATTATTAAAAATAATTAGTTTAATGTCACACGTCATATACAATGAAGTTTGCTAAAAATTATTTAGCTTTATCAAAAATTTAAAACCATAAAACTGTTTATTCATTTGATTATACGTAGGTATTCCATAAAAAATGAGATGAAGTCATTAAATCAGTAGGTGATATTGGTCCAAAACTGAAGTATATACTACCTAAGCAAATCAAACGTGAATAAAATATATTATTTGGAACGCAACTGTAGTTTGTGTTCTTAAAATTTAACGAATTTTCTATAACGATTGTACAATGGAGTTTTCAGGTAGTAAAAATGTTAGATTTGGTATTAACATTATTTTATTAGGTACCTAAAAATTGTTTTATTTTTATTTTTAAGAACCGTTTAATAATACTTTTACTCAAAAGTAAAGAGCTAAACAACTAATTAAGTATAAATTTAAAGTTAAGTTAGAAAGTAGTTACTTTTACCTTTGTAACTTAATAGTTGGTTTTAATTCATAAAAACTTTTACAACTAAACGTGTTGAATTCAATACGAAAATTAACAAACACATTATAAAACGCGTTTTTATTATTTAAAATAATTACCTATGTTAATTTACAATCTGTACAAAATAAATACAACGCTTACAATAGGTAAATTTGATATGTCAAAAACTTTCAGGATGCGTAGATGGGGAAATCGCCCAGCGACAACAATAGGCAACATCTAATGTAGTGGTCAGCAACCGACGGCCCGCACGTCTATTTTATGTGGCTGGCCCACTTGACGAAATTAAATTTCATATTTTATAACTAGGTACGTATAGCCCAAATAGGTATAATAAAATTTTAAACATATTCAATAAAAATAATTTAACTATACATTTTACTTAATCAGTCATGATAAAACATAACATTATGTGTGTAGTAATAGTGTACCTATGCTATTTGTCATTGATATATTATTGAAGTACCATATGAATGAACTTAATATAAAACTACAAGGTAAAAATCAATTTATTCCTAGGTGTGGTCTCATATTAAATCGTTTGAAACTAAGTTAAAACTTTTACGGTCTCATACTAAAATAAATGAACTAATACGTCATTTTCCGGCATGTATAAGTCTGTTTGAATCGTCGAATTTCTCATTTCGACAGTTATAAGTTTGTTGAAGGTATTTCGACACTTCAACATAAATTTAATAAACGTTTTCAAGATTTTAAACAATGTTCACAATATTTAACATTACTATCAAATAACTACATTTAATATAGATACCTATTAATAAAGTTCCTGTTGATCTTCAAATGGAAATGATAGATTTACAATCACAAGATAGGTACTCTTAAAAATTCATTCAAAATGTCACCTTCACTATGTTTTGCTGAACTCCCTTCAGAATTTGCAAAAATAAAAATGATAGCTGCAAAATACTTAAGCATGATTGGATCAACGTACAAAATATGTGAAGAGGCCTTTTCTCACATGAAAAAAATTAAAAACCCACTCCAATCATAATTAATAACTGATGACCATCTCCATCATTTAATAGAGCTAGCATAAGTAATTTTGATGTAGAAATTGAAATAATCTTAAGCAAAATCCATCAATCGTGATAAAATATTGATAAGATACCTACCACCAAAGTAAATGAAAAATGATCTTATTTTTAAAATTTTGGAATTACCCAGTTAAAGATGACAAAATTAGATTAAAAGTTACTGTTGTACTTTTTTTCTGATAATGAAAACTGAAAATTTAAATTATGATTGCTTGTATATTATGTTGTAGTAGTCGAATCAAAACAAAACTCTCAATGTAGGTCAGGCATGTTAAACACGAGGCCCGCGGGCCGCATGGGGCCCTCAGCTCATTTTTCTGTGGCTCGCGGCTATCAATATTAATGAACAAAAAAAAAAATTAATATTAAAATATTAATGCTGTTTCTCAACTATCTTGGATTCTTAGAAAATTATTTATTTGGTATACATAATTACAATGTCTTATATCTTCTGATGAGCTAACCTTTTAATTTAGTTGTATCTGCTGTGTTCGTAAATGTAAAGAATAAAATTGAAAAATTTGTATAAAATATTTATTTTTTTTGTTAAACTTTTTGTGCGGCTCGCATAGTAAACTATTCAATATATTTTACTTATTTGATATTTTGAATTTGACATGCCTGATGTAGGTTACATAAAATATGGTACAATTTTGATCGAGTATTTGTCTGAATAAATACTTTCCAATTTACTTATTAAGTAATTGTATTTGATATTAAAATATACATGACATACTTTATATTTTTATACTTAGGTTAAAAAATCTTTAGAATTTTTGTATAGGCTTAAATGAGGTTTAAAAATAATTTTATCTTGATTCTTGAAGGCAGAGGCCACTGACTACATTCATATATATACTTAAAAGTTAAAATTAATTTTTAAGAAAGCTTTCAAGTTTAATAGAAGAACTAAAATAACTAAAAAATAATAAAACCCTATTATAAAATAAATTTAGCAGCTTGCTCTTCATAAAAGTATTAAAAGCTATAAATAATTTAAATATTTGTAATTTAAGGTTTCCTATTAAATATAATAGCTTATTGGTAATTATCAGATACTAATTAAATTACACATTGTTAGTATTAAACTTTAGGTTTATGAATTTTCATTATTATTTTCAATTTAGATATTTTTAATACTTGGTAGTTCTAACTTATTGGACAAAAAATATTGAAAGTATTATCATAAATTTTCTTTAAAAAGGTGTTGTTTTGAAAATATTTTTATGTATATATTTTATGCTATAACATAATTCCAACAAATTTAATATTTCATGCCTGGCTGTATACTTTAGTTTAACTGTTTCTACTTTTTAGATACTTAATACATATTTTTTTTAACTTTTATAGAAATAGTAAAAGTAAAAATATAAAAAGATAGATTTAATTACGTTTAAAATTCTTTTATTTTTAACCGAACAAACTAAGTTTAATTATATTCTGTACACTTAAAGTTAAATAAAAATAGTATAATGCATTAAAGTACTAGTAAAAATCACATTTTTTAATTTTGAGCAAAGCAATGCATATATTTTGACTATCTTGTAATTGCATTTTGAAATAATAAAAATTCTTCAATTTTAAATTATGAGGCTGATTTTTGCTAACAAATTGGATGATTGGGTTTCTTCTTTAAAATATTTATCTAATAACTTATAATATTCTTTCCAACAACATTTTTTTTTTCTAACAAATATAATTTATTTCTAATATAAACAGATTCCAATTTACAGCTTTTAATTATTCATTATCTGTTAGTCTAAATAATCTTCAAAAAGTTTGATTGAATAATATAATAACTTTTAGTGACCATCCTTCTTGAAAAATCGTAAGCCACAATATCCACAAGCATGATTCCCTGGTTTGTCCTAAATAATAAAATAATAATTAATAACAAATATTTTATAAAAAGATTATTAAAATAAACATAATATTTAAAAATAAATATTTTTTTTTTATTTTTTTAACATAATTCTTTATTCAGGAATCTGTTACAAACAAATGAACAATAACAAAAAACAAAAAAAAAAATGGATATTATACTTTAAATAATACAACTATATTATTATGCTTCTTCATTAATTAAATGTAGACAGAGCAACATAATTTAAAACAACGGATGTGTTTATTACAAAATAAACACAAAAAACTCAAGTCTCAAATATAATTTTATAGTTGTACCATACATTTTTTAACTGTTATTTAGTAAATTAATTTTTTTAATAAGCTATACATGAATTTATAGTTTCTGTATTTCTTGATCTTGATTAGTCAAATAAAAATGTTAAAAGTAGAAGAAAACTATTTCTTAAATTAAGTAATTTAGGAATTAAATGTTCTGATATCTAAGCAACATTTCTTGACATTTAAGTAGAAAAAATAAAATGGTAACTTAATTTAATCTAAGATTATTGATGGTTTATTTTAATGCTTTATAATTTTATCTTATTTTAATTTTTAAATTCCATCTTCTTATACCAGTTGCACTTATTATTACTATGTTATTTTGCACAAAAGATTATTTAACAATATTACAAACATAAATTAATAATAACTTTTATGTTCACTTCACACTTTAAAACATAAGTATTCATTTTTTTTTTTTTTTGGTAGCATAACTATCAAGGGTTTATTAGAAAAATATTAATGTTTTTGTTATTAAATAGGAATTTTAGTTTATTTTTATTTTGAGTTATTGTATTGACATTTTATGATAGTATTAATAAGGGTTGAAGTTGTATTATTAGTTAACATTATTATAAAATTAAAATATTATTAACAGATTAATACAATACCATTGTCAGCTAATAATAAATTGACAATTTTTAACATTAGATAATATTATATTTTAATATGATAGCCAATAGATATTAATTATGTAATAATACTAAACTATTATACAAATAAATAAGTTGTTAGATTTATTAATAATAACAGAGAGTGAAAATTTATAATTAATACTACTATATTATTTATAAAATATTATGATTTTACAACAATTAGTAAACCCAAAACACTTAAATATTAAAACATTAATTAACTAATGCTTAAATAAAAATAATTACAACCTTGAAAAAACAAAATATGATTTATACCTATTATTTTATTCTTAATTATTGGATATTGAGGTTACTCATGATGCTAATAAGCTTAACTAATCAAAGAAAAAGGTTATTGACTGGAGTGTGTTATAAACTTTGAAATGGCATATTATGAAACTTATATTCTAACAAACATAACATGCTAATATATGAGAATAAACTATGTACCAAATTTATGTAGACTTTTGGATGACCCAGTGGTCCACCGCCACCATCGCAAAAGACAACCCGCTCTGTACACGGTTTAGGCGGTACTTGATTGATGAGATCAATGGCAAACGACTTGTTCACTTCCTTTGTCTTATCAATGAAACGCGCTAAGCGGTAGTCGTCCTTTTCCCATTTCTACAACACAATTTATACAATCATATAAATATCGTTATTGATAAAAGCCAACGACGTCGATTATTAGTTACCGTTGGCCAGACGACTACTCACCTGACCAGTATGAGTTTCCACTTCTTTCGGTTCCCACGAGTACTTGGCCGCTTGGAAAAGTGTTGGGCGACCAGCACGTTGTGACAACCCAACCGCTGCAATCTTCATTCCAGACATGGTCAGAGTCATAGTTTTAACCCACGACAAAATGCGATAGGAAACAATTCAGTTTTAAGTTTTAACAAGATACACAAGTCTACAACGGACGACCGACTCAAAGACGAAAAGTTGTCTCACACAAAATGGTTGATAAGGAAATCATATGTGACTTGATACGGGAAACTAATTTATTTACATTTAACTCTGTCCGGTGATTAAATGGTTGTTTACGGGTGATAACACAATGATAATATCGTTGACAACTGTAATCACTATGATTCATACTTCACTCTAATTTCAGTAATTTTTCGTAACCAAACGTTTTAATTTTAAATTACAATATACATGTCTATAAATTATACTCATAACTGAAAGTCACTTTAAACTATTATTATTATTATGCTTTCGGGCGTTCAATTAGTTTTTCACTCTAGCCGTTAGAACCGAAAGTTATTTTTCCTTCGGACAATGATGATGCGCAACCCAATCATCCGTCGTTGATGAAACCATTTCTTCGAGCGCAAAGTTCTTATTTTAATAACAATAACAATATTAAACAACCCTGCCCACGCGGATCGATGACTACTGACTAGTCATGGAGTCCAAGTTCTCGGGTTTTGCTAAAGAGACTACTGTCAGACCGGCATGTAAGAAATGTGGTTACTCCGGTCACCTGACGTTCCAATGTCGAAATTTTATCAAAATCGATCCCAACAAGGATATTGTGTTGGATGTAAGCAGTACGAGCAGTGAACCGGAAGAAGAGTATGTGACGCCACTGGTGCAGCTGCGCGAGACTGAATTAGCCTTAAAACTAAAAGAGGCAGCATCCAAAAAGAAGAAAAAGAAAAAGAAAAAGTCAAAGAAACGGAAGCATAATACATCCGATAGCGATTCATCAGACGATGACACAGAACGAAAAAAGAAACATAAGAAACATAAGAAACATAAAAAAGAAAAAAAATCTAAAAGTTAAGTAATAAATAAGTTGGTAACATATTTTGTAGGTTTTAAACATAAAATTAAATATTTAAAATTTCCATAGTGTTTTTTATGACTATAATTTATTATTATTTAAATAAATGGTATGTAACATATTATATCTTTACTTTATATTTAGTATTGAAAAATTTGCAGTTTATTAAACAATATTTAAAACTCACTTATTTTATCTTTTTATACTTATGAATGTACAAAAATTGGCCATAAAAATACTAAAAAAAACCTTGTTAAAAGTCACATTAAGTTCTAAATAAATGATTTTTAGCCTTTTTAGGTAAGTATATAATTTTTAGAATCTACGTATAAAAGATAGAAATATTCATATCAAAACGTGTTTTTAAGGAAACTAGTTCTATAAAGGAAAAACCTTTCATCAGAGTTATATAATAATGATTTAATAGTATTGTTCAAGATTTTTTTTTCAAATCTATTAATTTAGGAAAAAATTGCTCAATTCTATATGAATTGGATTACAATTTTGAATGTATTTTACATATAGTTTCATAATAAACTAAAATCATATTAATTTTGATAACAAAATACAGGATTGAACTAATAAAACAGTTATTAACAAGATGAATCCATATTAAACAGTAATACAATATTTTATTGGAAAAATATTATCAAGTACACCAAGTACTATATTATTATGTTGAAGAAATAAGTGTCAGGAATCTAAAACATAAGACTGTAGAAGTCAAGGTATAACAGACCTGTATAAGACTATCCATCTGTTTTAATTCCTAATTCATATTATATCAATGAAATATTTAGAATTTCATAACTTTAATGTTTATTAAAATGTTATTTAATTTTTTAGCAGCCAATCAAACAGATATCATACACTAAAAATAATAACAATTTTTTTTTTTAATTAGTGTCTCTAAACAATGAATATAATCTTATATTGTACGTATAGGGAAAATATATTATAATATAGTTTATTTTATACTATTTCATACAGTATACATTAACACTTAATGGTCATTGGATTTTAGTTTATAAAAAAATCAAAACTATTAGAGAACTGAGCAAATAAAACGATACCAATAATATAAGATTTAGTATAAGAAAAAGTTACATGGATATAATCAACAAACATTACAATTTATTAACTTCATTGAACATCTTATTTATTTTAAAATTAAATCACTTAAATTTACAACCATTTTTAACTAAAAAGTTAATAATGCTTAAAAAAAATAAATATAATTAACATTAATTTTATCTTTAAAAACTAAATTATAAAACTGATATTAATTAGACATATCTAATGCAGCAAACTTATTAGATGAAATTGCTCCACATACTTCTGAACTATCGCTATCACAAGATTCATCTTCATCACTTCCATCATCCTCAATTTCACTAGCATCAGTCTGATCAGATGGTTTTTTCTCATCATCCGATAAATCTATACAATTTTGTTCAAATGTATCCAGCTCATCCACAATACCTTTAATTTTCCATATATTTTTTATTTCCGCAGAAGACAACCAATATTCTAAAAAATATAAGAAAAATAAATATAGACATTTTAAAATAGTTAAAAAATTATCTGTTTAAATTAAAAACTGTATTTGACGGCAATAAATTTTTGAATGCAGTCCGGTGACATGTCTTTGTCATCCTTACTAGATGAATACACTCAACCATTAATATATTTGGCACGTGCCACAACCCAACACACCTATACATAAATTAGCCAACAAGTACAGTTCTTAATTTTAGAGCATTATATTATTATAGTTCTATAGAATTTTTTTAAATGTTTTTATCAGATATCTTTATAATTGTAGTATAAGCAGCTTAAATGGAGTAACAAATATAGACACATTTTTAACTTAAAATAAATCTAAAATTATTATATTACTGAGAAAACACCTAAAAAGTATTTGATTATTCTATTTTATTTATTTATATGACTTAATATTTTAAGTGTTATAAATGCATAAATTTGTATATTTTAAACTTTTTAAGGAAATAAAAATTCTGCAGTCTACAACTACTCATCTATATTTTTAATAATTTTAAAATTGATATTTTTTACTTTTGTTAGCTGTAAATCCAAGAGGTCTCAATGCTAAACAAATTTTCCCACTAAGTGTCATACGTAGTAAATGATTGGCTGCACGATATGTATCTGGTCTTCCTGCTCTAGCGGTTAGAAAACCTCGTTTAATGGCCCAGCCTGAATCATTAATTAATAATCCATAGATAAAAAACGATTGAAATATATTTTATAAAAGCATTAAAATTACATACTGTCACAAATATCTATTGCAGACCATTCATTTTCACCAGGCTCAGGATGTTGTAAGTTTAAAAGTTTTACCAGATTCAATCTTTCAGCTAAAAACATGATAGTTGAATATGGTTCACGAAGTTGTGCAATAGGATAACAACCCATTAGAACCTAAAAAAAACTTCACACATGAAATATTGTGTCATATTTAGTTTTTATTTTTTAATACTTGTAATGGTTTAGGGAGTTTAGATGGAAACACAAGTCCAGGACAGTCACATAAACGAACACTGGGAGTTAAAAATATTGTCTGAAAATGCTTTGTGTGTCCAGGAGTTCCTGAAACACTGACAACTTTAAAAATAAATAAGAAGATAAGTAAATATTTATTATTTATAATATTAAAGTTTCCAAAGTAACTAACTAGATTGTAATCTAAAATCTATATTACTTTTTTGCCCATTAATGCATTTAAAACAGATGATTTTCCAGCATTGGGTTGACCTAATAAGCCAATTGTAAGATAACTATTTTGAAATAAATCAAAATGTTCATAACTCGTTTCAGGAACAGCCTTGAAAATAGAAATTTCATGAATTATTAAAAATAGCTTTCAAATTAATTGAAATTAAATTTTATACTTTATCAAATAATATATTATATAGTCTACAAAAATAACTTACAGTAATTTTTTCTTCAACTTCAACATCTTCTTCATTATCATATTCTAATTCTTTTTCTTCAGAAATTTTATTTTCCCAGCTCTGTAAATCAACTACAATACATGTGAAAACATTAAAAACAACTATACTTAGTATTTAATTTTGTTAACATTTTAAAAACATACTCTTTGCTTGATATTTTTCTATTATACTTTTACATTCTTTCAACAAATTTTCTGCAGCTTCTGCAGCCATCTTTAATTTACCTCTAGGTTTTATTTTCTGAACACCTGTAACATACATAATACATTTTATTACAATTTTATAAATAACTTATATTTTGTACAATTTTAAACATTATTATGGTTATATACCTTCTTTAAATTCTGAACTGTTTTTGTAAGAAGTAAAAAACAATACATGAACTTTGGCTTTGTCGTCATCATCTAAATTATATGTTTGTGTAATTTTATGTTTCCAAGCCAAACCTATAGATGATGGCACTAAATCCATTTTATTTAGAATTATAATTAAACTCTTTTTTAAAACTTTTAATACGTATGTAAACAAATATGTAGGGACAGCCTAAAAGAAAATTGTACTGTAAATTATAAAGGTTTAGAAAACGTAATAATAATAAATAAGATATATTGATTAGTTTACTGGATAACGAGCATCAGCTATCCATACAATAATGTCTGACATTTCCATAACACGCCACATTTGTCGCCAAGTTTCCAAGTTCAACTCAAAATAACTTAACTCGTCCCAATCACTTCTTTTTTTCAGTGTTAGTAAATACTCTTTGAAATAACCATATTCACGACTATCTAACTGTTCTCTAGTCATATCTGGACTCCATTTAGGTCGTACTGGAAAACCAAGCTCATTGCCACAAAAATAAGGAGCAGGATCAAACTCAAGTTCTTCTTCAGAAACGGGAATAATTTGCTTTCTTGCATCTTCTTTTCTTTTCTTTATTTCTTCTTCAGTCTCTCGCCGAAATTGTAACACATACCTAAACAAAATTTTTTAGTTTACTTTAAATTATAAATATATAATAAATTTGGTCATGAATAAAATATGTTTATTTTAAATTTTATGACTTTTATGTTATTAGTTCTAATATTAGAATAAATTGACCTGTTATCTAATTTAAAGGAAAACAACTTAATTATTAACTAGGGCACTTGGTAACTTTTTAATGATATTAAAATTTTAAAATGAGTTTAGAGCATTTTAAAATTGTAATATTGATAAGAGCCAATAAAATATTCTAAAATCTAGATATTTTTAGCAATAATTTTTATTATAGATCAATTCAGTAATTCAAATTCTAATATTGAAACTAATAACACAAAATTAATTCTGATGAATATATTTGGTATGTTGTACGTCCACACAACAGGGAAAAAATATGCATGTGCAATGTCCTCTGAATAAATTTTAAACTAAAAGTTTACAATTATATTTAATTTAATAGAAACATTTTTTTAAACTAATAATACATAACATAATAAACAATTGCTTTGAATTATTTAAAAATTTAAAGTCATTATTATTATTAGTTTAAAACTGGTTTTCAGCTATAGACATTGAAGGTAGCATAAAACAATTTAAATAAATAATAATAAATGTTTATTTATACACACTGATTAGGGTTAGATTTACCACCACGATGTAATGGCTGTTGATTGATACTCTGTACATTGAATTCGGGCAATCTTTCTTTGGGAGGTCTGACATTCCCTTCAGCTCTTTCATAGTTATATTCAGACCCTGTTTAAAAATATTAAGTATATATTATTTAATAATTATACAAATATGATTTTATAATTCATTATACTAAAAGTCTTCTACCAGATGCAGCGTTAAGTTGTTTTCTCTTCCTTTTTTCTTGGATTTGTTGTTTCTTTTGTTTACCGCTGAAAGGCAATTTTCGACGTCCTTGGGGCATTGCGATATTTAGTTTAAATATTTTAGTTTTTGCAGTTCTTTCTCTTAGCAATTAAAATTTTAAAATAACGATTTTCGTAATCGACATCGCACATCCAACTATCACTATGTGTGTTTAATAATGATTATAGAAACATTTGAATATTTGAAATATCTCTACCATCATCACACACCAAGATAATGCTAGAATTTTCGCGATGTTAACGAAAGAAAAAATGATGATAAGGTTAGCTCAATAAAGTTAACTAACTGTTTAAATAAACAGTTAAAAAATAGTGCTTACTACTTGTTTATTGATACGGTATCACAAATAATATAATCAGTGTCCAGTGATAATATCACAGAATCTGTGATAATATTTTGAAGATGTTGGGCGTCGTATAGGTACGAGTAATATAAATGAGCACTTTTCCCGAAAATCATGGAAGATAAAAACATGTGTCGACCATTTGCTCCACCAACTCCCAAACACCAAAATATCTCTTAAAACAACTAAGTAGTAACTAGGTAGTCATCTGCAAAACAATAATATTTATAAATATTATAATATTGTCTATAGTAAAGCCGTAGTCTGTGAACAATTTGTGCCACAGCACAGTTTAAAAATATAATGTACAGTTCATTTTATAGCTAAAAGCTATCGTATAATTCAATAGTTGAATAGTTGCTGTTTAGAGCTTGTTATGGACAGATTTTGTGTTTATTATTTACTATTTAATAGCTTAATACACATTTCTGCCACATCCGTAAAGTACGAGTTATATATAAGGCTAACTAGTAATAATACTAATTACTTTTAATTATTAATATAAAATGTTGTAATGATAAATTGATAATTTAAAAGGATGCTACACCGATTATTATCATAAATATAAAAAAATGTTTACGAAAACTGATTAAAATGCCTTAATGTCCTTTTAGTGTAAAATTACTAATTACGCTATTGGTAAAGAATAATATTTTTGAGTATCACGAGTGGGCGCGGCTTAAACGTCGCATGCATGCGAATCGAAAAAACAACAGCGCATTGTTTCGGCTGTTGTAATCGTGCTATACGTTTCGCGTTGTGTTCGTGCTAAAGGTTTTAATGATATTATGTCTGTTTGCTATAAGTTAACGTTGTAACTTTATATTTAAAGTAAAGTCAATATCCTAAAAAATACTTTTAAAAAATAGTATCAAATTAAATACTTATATTTAAAAAATATTAATTAAATTATTGATCTAATTCTTTGTTTGTAATATAGGCTTTAATGTAGGTAATTAGACTATGAGTGATTGATTACTTCATTGTAATTCTAAGACTATATTCATGGAGACTTAAAACTTAACGAATATTATGAAATTAACTATTATAATATTATATTATACCTACATTTATATTTAATATTTTCAAAATACATTTTTATAAAAATAATATATCTATTTATAACCATGAATCTTTCATTTTATTTTACAATAAGGTGGTATTTATTCAAAATGTAATAATAATATAATATGCTATATGACATATTATACTATAAATCATATATATAATAAATATATTTCAATATTAATGATATTCATAAATATAATGTTTTCGGCAACATTCAAATTAGGTAACCTTCCATAATAGTAGGTACCTACCTCCTAATCACTGCTTAAGATGTTTTAAATTGGTCACAATCAGGCTGTGCATTTTCAATTTTCATCATATGACAGTAAAGTAGTAAACTGTCAATCTTATTGAACTTTTTAAAAAAAATTGTATAGTATGTACTTAATCAACTATGTTTTCATTTTTGAAATTACCAGAAATTAAAATTAAAAATTGATTACGGAAAATTTAAAGCGGTTGTCTATAAAATTTCATATTTCATATTGAAGCCTCAAAAACTTTTTTCTAGACAAGGGAATATACAGAATTGCTGTTGTAGTGGTTACCTACCTAGATACTTTCTTTCATCATTTCATGTTTGTATCTATTAAATATAATATAAAATCATTTAGTAAGTATAGTAAATATCCATGTAAAATAGTATTAAAAAAAGTCAATTTTCTTTTCATAATTCTAAAAATCTCTTCCACCCTTAGTTTTTGAATCAAATTTGTGATGAATCAAATAAAAATGGTATTTAAAGTACGAATTTTAAAAAAATGAATAGAAACATTTGCTTTTTGATTTCTATTGGTTGGTGGAACGTATTCTCGAGGTCTTTAAATAAATGGCATTTTTTTATGTTTTTTTCATGGAACAAGTTATGGTTGTACTTATACAGTTGTATCTCACACGTCACACTAAAGTTTGTGAATAAACGATAAAATTTGCTCTCTCTCTCTACTCCAGGAATTCCCAACCTTTTTTACTTAACGATACATCCAATCCTTTTACATGCGTTTTCACGGCATACCTACACATAAAAATACATATATACAAATCTTTATTAATATATTGTTTATTATAGATACATTACAAGTCGATATTACTGATATAAGATATTTATCTGAGCAATTTAAATTAATTTAAATAATCAATAAGTTAATAACAAATTATATTATTATATTATAATATATTTAAAACACAAAAAAATTAAGTCTACCTAAGTATATACACGATTGTCAATACATTTGAAGAATTTTGCGACATAAATGTGATTAAGCCACAGCGGATGAAATCTCAACTCTAGTACTCTACTTCCAGGCCAGTGTTTCCCAACCTTTTTACCAACCACCATACGGACCATTAAATAAAAAATATATTTGAACTTTTGATAAGTCGAAAATTACCTAAATTTTATAAAAACTTGATAGACCACAAATACATTAGGTATTTCTTCAGTTATTTTTAAAACAAGTAAATAAAAATCTTTGGCTCTATTGTGTTCTGTGACTCTACGGGACACCACCTATGGCAGGCACGTATACAAACGTCACAAACCACCTGTTGAGAAGCACTGGTCTGTATAGACGCACTGGCGCAACCCGATATCCAACCACCTAGGCCATGTGTTTTTAATTTTTATAGTCATCGGCCATGGTGTTATGCTCATGTAGCCTGTTTTTCTAATCTCATGTTCAATCCTCATTGCAGTGTAGCTTGTACATCGTAAATCGTTTTACGTTATATTCTAATTAATAATTTACTATTTTGATATTTCACGGCCGTTGGCTGATATCTTTTCACATTCATGTCTAGTCTGTTAAATGTAAATTGTTGTTTTTTATCATTATTCATCATTATAGTATTATACATAAACTCTTAATGTCAACAAAATAATTTAATATAAATACTATAAAAAATAAATGACCCGAATTAGAACAACTATCATATTTTTATCATAATAACTAATAAGTATTTGTACGATAAATTCGTAACAATGATTATTACAGTCTCTTACATAGGTATTTTCTAGAGTTTTTACCTCAGAACACTTGGAGGGAAGTACCTAGTACCTACGTTATAAGATTTCAATCGTCCAATATTCATGTCATAATTAACTCTTAGAGTATTATCTATTCCATTTTTACATTTGCTATTGTGCATTGTGAAAGAAAAAACACTTTTGTAAATATATTTTAGAAGAAAATGTCCAATATTTATTTACAAACATTTTTTCTCAAAATTATCGCAATAGTATATTATTATGCATTAATTATAAAATAAATTGATAGAAAATATATATACCTACAACTTAATAAATATTTAATATACAGGATAATCATTATTATCCTGGACAGGGGCGTATTTAGATAGGGGCCAAAGGGAGGGGGGAATCGTTCCGGGCGCCAAATAGAATTGTAAAGGGGGCGCTGCGGCCCTAGAAAAATATTATTATGAAAAAATAAAATATTATTGGGCTAAACTTTTTTTATCTGATGACCTTTTTTTTTAAACCACCGATGTGTAAAAATTAATCAGCCTCCCCCTCCCCCGACAATTTTTTTTAGGGGAAAAAAGGGCGCCAAAATCGTAATACGCCTCTGATCCTGGGATTCCAAAATTATTATTTAGGATAATTCACCGAGCATGCTCACTTTCTTTTTCTTCTTCAATAAAATAGTTTTTCAAAATCTGATTTTTGGAATTTTTAAGTATCTACCTATAAACTTATTTAAGAAATGTCTTTTTGAAATAAACACTTCTATTTTTCAAATGACAACCTCCCTTCTTTACTAAAAATTATTTAACTGATAATTTTTCTGAAAATGTTAAAATGTCAAATTTAAAGTTCGAACAATTAGTTTTTACTAATTTATATTAATCTATCAATGTTTATATAATTTATAAAAATGGTCTAACTACTTATATAGTAAATATTATATTTATTTTGTATTTTTAAGGACTATTATCTTTAAAATAAATATTTAAATAACTAAAAAACTACTTGTTTGAATTTTTTAAATAGTACATAAAATGTTTAAAAAAATATTGACTGAATAATTTACTTAAAAAGGGGTTCAAACTTGAAAAAACATAAATTTGAATTATCACAAAACACTCCTTAATAGTGGCATATAAAATCTCAAGATCTTGAAAAAGGTCTCTAAGTATATTTAAAAATTCCAAAAAATTAGAATTTTAATTAGTTCATTATAAAATTATAAAATGGAGTATAGTATGTTTGGGAATGATACAATATGTATTTAAGTAAAATAGGTAGGTATTTAAAATTGTTTGCGGGTTCATTGCCATATTAAACGTCTGTTAAATATGAGGATTACTGCGATTATGTCAAATAACTGTCATTTATTTATTTTAAATACGCATATGGTGCGTATGTAGATAAAATAATATATAAGTACTAAAGTAGGTACCTAAAGTACTTATACTAGAATCAGATAGGTAATTAAATGTATTTATTTTTTCAAAAGATTGAATACATATCATGAATAATAAATCAATATTAATCATTGAAACTTTTTTCTTTTAAAATAATACCAATTAAAAAGAAAAAATAATTTATTAAATCGATAAATTTAATAAAAAATAATAACTAGGTAAATTTTTTTAAAGTTTAAATTATTTTATATTTAATTTTAGTTATTTTAGGTACAATATTTGTAAAACAAAAACTATAGGTATGTGTCTAAAGATGTTATAATTATCAAAATCTAATTACAAATACAAGAAATTGAACTTAAGTAAATGGACTTAAAAAGTAATATGTTTTATGCAGTGATGTAAATAATTTAATTTGTAGAATATACTTTTTTTAAATATTAATTAGATATTTAAATTGTATTTTTAACTGTACAGGTACCTGAACAAA